ATCTAGTGTCTTGAGGACAAGCAAAGACTTAAGTTTTGGGGAGTTGACAAGTGTGGATTTTAATCACTTATCAGTGCCTTCTTGCTTTAATTTTTAGTCCGAAAATAATGATTTTTATTTCCTAATCTGTTAAAAATACGTGAATTGCAGGTGTGTTGGAATATGAGTTCAACGAAGAAATTTAACTCAAAGAAGGGATGTTCCAGCTCAAACAGTCAAAAGGAGAAGTGCAAAGAATAGTACGGTCCGCAGAATTTCATCTGCAGCCGCAAAAGAAGATGCGGTCCGCAGAAAATGTTATGCGGTCGCAGAATGAGCTTTGAAGTTTCTTTTGGCAGCAGCACGGTCCGCACACCCAAAAGTGCGATCGAACTTGAAGCTCGCACTAACAAAGCTGAGAGATTAGAGAAGATGCAAAAGAACAAGTCTGAAGTCTCCTTAAAGTGCGGTCCGCAGCCAAATTGGGTTGTCGCAGAAGCTTATGTGCGGCCGCAGAATCCCTCTAACTGACAAGCACTGCAAGAGCAACAAACTAAAGCGTGGACCGCAGATGAAATTGTGTGGCTGCAGAACCTTCCGAAGGGTATTTTTATCAACGAATTTCAGAGCAATATAAATAGGTGAGAAATACTTTTTTAGGGCAAGTTTTGTACTGTGACAGCTGCTAGTGGTTATCTTTAGCCATTTTGGGCAATTTGGAGCAACAATTAGAGAAGATCCATTAAGTTTACTCTTTAATTCTAGTTTTACGTCTTTAATTCTAGTTTTACGTCTTCAATTACTTCTTCTTTTCATTTATTCATGTCATTGATTATGAGTAGCTAGATTTTATCTAGAGTTGTGATCCAACCCTAGTATGTAAAATGTATGGGTGTTTAATATTAATATTTATTATTGATTGGGTGTATGTTATTTAGCCTTGTTTATACTTTATATCTAGAGTTAATAGTTGCAAATATTGATGCATGCCTAGTTGACTTAGTTCTTACTTGAGAAAGATGAACTTGGTCTAGGAAAACTTAGTTAATTTGACTAGTTTGATTAAAGAATTTGAACTAGAGATAGGATAATCCAACTTGCACTCATAATCAATTGATTTGATTGCTACCCATTTGGTCTTGAGAAAGCCAATTTGGGCATAATCTCTCTTTGACCGAGAGGTATTGAGTGGGTACTTGAGCATTGAGAGTCATAACACACCCCGATCTACCAAACAAGCATAGATATACTCTACCCATTAGGTTTACACCTAGATGAAGGTTACAACCATAGGCTTTCCCTTTATTTGATAAAAACATTTCAGTCATTATTTGCTTATTAATTAGTTAGTTAAATCTCCTAGAAGTTAATTTAGATAACAATTACCCACTTTTGTTTGAAAGCTAAATTTAGTTATTTCAAGTTCTTTTCTTGAATGTTTATTTTAGCACCAACTTAAACACCCTATGGATTCAACCCCGACTCGTGTTAGGGATTTATAATTGCAACGACAATTTCATACTCTTAAGTACTTACCGAAATACACTTGCTTGGCTGGAAGTTTACTAGGCAATGTTTGCTACGCATCATCTGTTGATTGGGCCACGTGTTAAAGACCGTTTTTCACCAATACACCAATCAAGAAGTTGTATACACTATACATTTCGAGGCTCGAACTCAATTTGCACATAGTATTTTAAAATTTTATGAATGCACCCAAAACAGCATGGCTTGTTTACAAGGCATAAAGTAATTGTAAATGTCTTCATGGAATGCCTTAAAGAATCTGCCAATTATGTGGACCAAGAAAGCAGCTGATCATTCATCTATACTCCTGACACTCCAACCCAGCAAAAAGCTTAAGAAATTACTACTTGGGTGCCATGTAACGCACGTAAGAAGATGCTGTATCTTTTTATTTTTCGCAATATCCTGGGACTTCGAAAAATTTTATTTTGTGTCTTACACAACTGACACTAGTTGTATGAGACCTTTTTTTTATCTCATAACTGTGTGGTCCCAGAATTTTGTGGACCCAGATGTGTAAGCTATGGGTCCACAAATATATGAGATAAAAAGAGGTCTCACACAACTAATATAAGTTGTGTGAGACACATAATAAAACCACTCGTATAACGATAAAATAAAATTAGATGTATTAACTCTCGTACATTGCTACCTGTAACTGATATACTTTAAAAGTAGAGTATAAAAAAGGAAGGACACTTGAACTCCTCAAGAGTAAAACAAAGAAATATGGGCATGGGATATGATGTAAGACTTCACGAAATTGCTTCTTAGCTTCTTGTTTTTGTCGTGTTGGGATCTATGAAGTCGTCCATGTGTGACAATTGACAAAGTTGTTCCACTTTGTTTGTTGTGCAAACCAATTATAGCATGTAAATTTGCACTATTATTGTATTAGATTTCGGATCTCTGACTATAAATTTAAGTCATAATAATTCAAATCATGATTTTACGAGTTCGAATTTTAATAGTCTCTCAATCGCTATTAGCTACAGTTATTATGCTATCCTTATTTTCCTATTAACCATTTGAAAGAGAAAAAAAGGTATACTAATATGTAGAAGTTTGAGACAATCTTGATTTCGAGTGTAGAAATGATGTGGGATAGCCACTTTTTAACATAGTATTTAGTTTTTATCCAGTATTTTTAATGCTGAGCAAAAATAGCCACTACTTTATTAAAATTAATGCGAAAAGATGTTTTTATCCTTTCTTCATGAGTGCTGTGTAAAAATTAAGGATATGGTGTCCTTAACATTAATTACACTGCACACATAAAGTTGAGGACGTCGTGTCCTTAACATTTTTGCACATATGAAGTTAAGGACATGATGTCCTAAAGTTTAACAACGGAAGGTGCAAATACAGGACACTTTGTTCTTAATATTTACACAGTATTCATGAAGTTAAGGACACCATGTCCTTAATATTTTTACACAACACCCATGTCTAGCACAGGGGTATTTTTGTCCGGGCGAGTAAAAATTTATTAAGCACTGGCTAAAGAGTAAATATATTTTTAAACAATGGCTAAAGAGTAAAGACATCTCTAATTAGTAGCTAATTGTGCACTTCCCCATTTCGAATCAGCCTTAGACAATTGTCTGTCCAATTAATAGGACGATTAGAGTCTGATTTGACTATAAGACATGGACTATGGCATGCAAAAATATGAAGTGATGAAAACCTATGTGTTCCTATATACAATTTGTAAACAAATTTAATTTAATCCTCTCATATTAAAAATAATTCATTATATATTAGATTCAATTCAACTTAAGTAACAATGCCTACTTTCATTTTTTTAATAATTGTTGGCTTAATGTTCAAAGGTTACATCAACATCTGTGAAACAACAGTCTTGATATTGAAGCTCCTCTTTTCTTCAAAGTAATATCTGATGTTGCTCTCCACCAATTCTTTCCCTTCTTCCAATAAAAATTCTAGCTGGACTTTACCGACACTATACTATATACTACATAGTAGTGCCATAACCCCCCACCCCACCCACCCCTTATCCTCTACTACCCACCATGTATGGTTAATCTTTCCTTATGGGAATTCTCCTCTTCACTTTTTCTTTGTGGGGTTGGTGTTGGAGGGGGGTGGGGTTGCATGTAGGGGCCAAGAAGTGTATATTATATGGTGTGAAACAGTATATGATATAGGGAGGAAAATGTGTATCTAAATTTATACAAAGAAATATCACTCAATCATAGGCGGATCCAGAATTTTAAGTTTGTGGGTACCTGTCGCAATCTCAAATTAAATACAATAATAACTGAGTTCACAAATACAGGCTCGATGCGGTAGCATCGCCCTTTGTAACGATCAAGGCTGGTAAGTCCATCGGTCCATACAGTTGTCCATGTACCAGTAGAAGATTCGGCAGCTACCGCGGCCCCTGCTTCTTCATATTTATAGATATTTAATAAAAAATTTAACAAAAATACAAGGTCTACGCAAAAGTTACTGGGTTCTCGAGAACCCATATATTATACTCTAGATCCGCCCTGACTCAATAAGACTTAAACATCTTCCTACCAACCTCTTTGAAAGAGGTGTATATAAACACATTTATAGGGCAGAAGGAAAAAAGTAATGCAAATGGGGCCTAGTTGAATAAGATGAGATCCAAATGGTGTTTTTGTTGTATAGTGATATATGGCCAGCTATAGACCCCCTCCCACCCCCACCCCACCCCACCCCCACCTAAGCCTAAAGAGTCTGAAAAGAGCTAGCTTGTGAATGCATGGTACAATAATTGTGTTGTGCTTTCTGCAAACAAAGGTAAATATGACTATTCTCTTTAGTCTTTATCCATCTAGTGATACAGTTAATATACTGCACAGAAACTAGATAAAACTAAAGTGGGTCATGTGGCTCACATCCTTGGCCTAAATTCTTAAAGATGGTTTGGATCAGATATGAGAGACTATAAAGGGTCAAAAGATGGAACAACTGCAAAAGCAATAATTTTGCCCACCACACCTAGAAAGTGAATTGAATTACCTGAGGGAACAAATGATTGGGGAACGTTAAGAATTTAGAAAAAAATAGTGTACTTGTAAACAAAAGAGGAGCCTTTCGCTTAATGGTAAAAGTACTCGCCGTGTGAGCAGTAAGGCACGCGTTCTAACCGTTAAAACAACTTCTTGCAGAAATACAAAATAAGGCGGCATATAATGAGCTAAATATGGTTCGTCCCTTTTCAGATACAGCAAATAGTGGAAGCTTAGTGCCTCGAACACTTGTAAACCAAATGACATGAACCAATTGGGGTCTGCTTGTTGTGGCTATAAGCATGATTCTTATTTGGACCATGAAGTTCAGAAAATGTAATGGGCTAAGCCCAATTAGTAACCCATCTTGCTTAGAGGCCAACTTCCATACAACATGCAAATTCACTCTTTCTCCTATTTTAGAGAGTACCAGCATCAACTTTATCTTCATAAGATCTATCTAGTACCAAAATAAAGAATATGACACAATAGTACATCAACAACTTTGATTCATTATTAAGGAGAAAACAAGGTTATTTAGGAAATAACAACGCTATTATACAAGCACAAGGGCGCCTCGAAGGTCCATGGAGGTGTACTAAACTAAACTAATAACTACAACAATAAAGATTTTAAAAAATTGCCTTCCAAGTTCACCTACTGGTGGTGGTGGATGATCTTCAAGGGTTGGGAGTGAGGGAGGGAAATGAAGGGATGGATTGCAGTATCAACTTGCGGCTGCTTCGACGACCAGGTGAATGCGAATGTGAATTCCCATAGTTACAATGAGGAGGAGAAACTCTCTTCCTGTTCGGAGAGGCTGTCTTAATGCCACTGACTGGAGACTTAGTCCCTTGGAGTATCTCAGGCATTTCATCTTCTTGAACTTGAACCGACTCAAATGGCTTGTCAAACTTTGGTTGAGGTTGAAAGAAATTCGCCCTTCCAACCCCTTGGCCAGCAGCATATATACCACCAGATGAGGATCCGATAGATAGAAATGATGATCGAGGCGGTTTGTTCTTCAGTGAAAATGGGAGCTGCATTGGTGGTCTAAAAAGCAAAAAAAAAAAAAAAATCATCAACAACATTAGTAGAATGATAACATGAAAAGCATAAGAAAGTAACTTTGCTTGAAGAGTTAAAAGATTGATATACCTTCCAAAATTTAATGGTGTAGCAGGGGGGCCAGAATCTGGATTCTGCTCGACATCACTCTGTACAAGGTTCTTATGAGATGTTCTATCGACAATACTCTTTTCATATGCATCTGTTTCCTCTTCCTCTGCATCCCCATCTGTGCCTATGTAAATAGAACCTGAATCAGAATGGTAGATTCTCAAACTACATTTATCGGTCACCCTTCACAGCAACTGAATGTAACTAAAATGATGATATGAACCAACTCGAAACCCCTCCCTCTTTCCTTTTTCTCAGGCAGTGTGTATGCATTGGATAGCAGAGAATGTGTACTGCTATAGAAAGGATTGAAATTAAAATCAAACCAGTATTAAAAAGTACTTACCATCCTTTCTGCCAAATGCATTCTTGCATCCTTCACATCTGCAGTTGATGGAGCATCCGACCCCACCCTGCAGGCCAAAAAAACATTTCTCTATCAGCTGATGTATAAAACAAAAGCATAACCAGTGAAACTCGGGAGAAAAAAAAACCTGATAGCATTCACAATATTTCTTCAGGCAGCCAGATTTCTTGCAGTTGCATCCTCTCTTGTGACGAGCTGAGGCAGGAGTCTTGCTGGAATCATCCTGCAACGCAATTAAATTACGTGTTTTATGACTTAAGTGAAACAACAAATATCTGCTGAATGAAAGCCAAGAATTTTTTCCATACCCCTGTTGTTTCAGAAAGAGAGTCGGTGGTCCTTATCACTTTAGGAGCAAAAGCAAGAGGGTTTCGTGATTCGATTTGTTTGCGAGTTGCAAGGACAGTATCTTCATGAATAGGCTTGTTGAAGCAGTCTTGACATGCACATGGCTCCACACAGTAGACTCCAGCAGCAAAACATTCACAGTAACTGCATTGACAAGTGAAATGAATTGTTAAATAGGGAGGGTCTATATCTTCTATAAGGTCTAATTACCTAGATCACAAATATCCACTTCAATTATGGCAAAGCACATTCGACATCTTAAATTCTCAATCCAGAATATTTCTCTTCTGGGTTACAAACAGATGGTAGGGGCAGTAACCGCATGTCCAAGAAGTTCGGAAGCATTTTCTGGTCAGGTCAGGTCATCTCAAACTCATAGACATCAGAAAAGCATCCAACATAAGAGCTACCTTCAGTTATCATCAAGAAGTTTGTTGCATGGTAAGAACCTATTTTAACAGCTGCGGATCATGCTTTTGTAGCATGACACTCACAGCAAACATTTCCTCTACGGCTCATTTGGTGTCTCGTATAAGAAAAGATAATCTTGCCATAGAACTCTACGACGATAAAGTTGGGTTGTGTTTTTCGTTTTCCCTATAAATAATGCATGCACAACTTGTGCAAAATCTATGTATTATTTTATGTGGGATGGGATAGTGGAATAAGAATATATGTATGAGAAATACATAGAATAAATAACATCATAAAATACCCTTTAAACTCAGATTTATTTCGATAAATAAAGATAAACCGGCTTACATTAAACTGAAATGCCTACACAGAAATAGTGAGCCAGCTTACTTTAAAAGTAAAGCATATAGAGTAAGAATAGTAAGCTGGCTTACTTTAAAGTCAATTAAGCTTTAATACATAAAGAATTAAGCCTTTTATTTTAAGAATTTTTATGCTCAAATTGTTTATTGCACTAATTACTAAAGTAATTCTTTGCTTTTAAATCACACAGTTATAGTTTTTCTAAAAATTCAAAAGCTTCGGGGTGCAAATTTGATCTCAAGCAAAATTGCAGATTGTTCATTATTACAGTCTTCATTGAGTATGACTTTTATCAAACAATAATTCTTTGAATTAATAATACGTGATGTACAGACCAAGGGCAATGTATGTGACAAATTTTTATCCAGTTAAAAACCAGCACATGCTTTAGATTTAGGCTTTATATCCAACCATTGAGGCATTGGACCGAACGTCCCCACAAGATATGCATTTCCACTAACTAATCTAGTGATTATTCTTCACTGTATTATAACTTACGTATTTATATACTCTGCATCTAAGTTGTTCAGACTCGGGTGGGGGTGTCCGATATAGGTGCGGATCTAGAGGTCGGATCCTTCATGATCTAGATTTTAAGATTCGGGGATACGGATTTAGATACGGATACGGGTGCGAGAATTCGGCTAAAAATAGATTATAAAAATATGTCTAAATTATAAGATGATATGTGGAAAACTTACAAGGTATTCTGAGAAGGAGAAAATATTAATCAAGACGAGAATTCGAGAAGGAGATAAAAGGAAAAGGACTGACATAGAAATCTCTATATACAAGGTATTCCATTTTCTTCAATTTCACCTTAGCTTTTGTTTTGTTTTTAGAAAATCATTGTATCTGTCCCGAATTTCTCTGTCAATTTTGGTCAAAGTACACAAAAACGGTTGACCAAATCCGGTACGGATCCCATACCCACACCCACGTCATGTCGACAAGGGTGTGGCACCGAAAGTGAAGAGTCCGAGCAACTTAGTTCTACATCACTTCTCATTAACCAAATAACCTTGTAGTCAAGCACACATATAATTCAGAAAGACAATGGCATTCAATTGAACAACCGGCAGCTCATTTAAGTACTTAACACGCAAGTCATGTCATGAAAATATAATGAAAGTTAAGTACATACTAAAGATAGCACATGAAAGGAGGATAATAACTTACAGTTTCAAGCATTTTGATTTTTTACAGTTACAGCGCTTGCATGATTCACCTTCTCCAGTTTCCAAACGACGCCTGCAAAAACAGCTTGTAATCAGATAATGGTAGAGCAAAAAAAGAGATCACAAGAACAAACTATGATCAAAAGGAAGAAGGGTCATGCCTCTTTTTCTTCGGACTAGTCTGGTTAGACTCTTCACTATTTACATATCCAGGTGCCTGGAAAACATCCTCCATAAGGGGTAAACTATTCTCAAAAGGAACAATTTCTCCTCCTCTAGAGGTTTCAGGCAGAGATTTAACCAGAGATTCTTGACCAGTAACCGAAGAATGAAGAGTGATAGATGAGCCGGATGCTATTACAAGCTGTTTCCCGGAAGCATTAGCTTCTTGCTTGACAACTTTGCCATCTTTTGAGGATGCTGTAAGGGAATTTAAATGCAAGCCAATTCCAGGTAAAGTGCATCGCGGATATTCATTTACAGTCTTAGAAGGTACTAGTTGCTTATCGTTGGAGGCAACGTTCCCATCAGCTTCTTGTGCAGCAGAAGAACCAGAACCTTCATCTATATGCTTTCTTCGAGGTCCCACCATCTCGAACACTAGACAGCGTCTTCTCATTCCACGGTATAAAGCAGAGACCATCTAAATAGAAAACAGGTAAGATCAAGATCACAAAATGGAGAACTGGAAAGTCAATGTGAAACATGCTCGCAGCTATTTGATAAAACAGCTAATTGATAAAAGCTAGAACGATCAATTAAACAACTTCAAGATTAGCTAAACCATTAACAAACATACACTATGTTTGAATACTTTTCTCCATCTTCTGGCAAGAATGATTGCATCAACCAAGATTTCCTTGAATTGTTGCAAAGCTAACATATGTTGTATCTTACATTACTCAGGAACCAGTCGAATGGTTCCAGCAGAATACTGATGACAAAAGTCAAGGTTCCAGACAACCACAGACGTGTGATGTCAAAAACAACATAGTGTCTGAAACTCTTCCTTTAAGAGCATAATCTGACTCAGAAAATCTCCATATCCAAGGGATAGGATAAAAATAATACCACAAACATCTGTATCCTAAACATAATATCAAATGTCAAGGAACATTCCTTTGAAAGCTAAAAACTTGGTGCCCCTCAGATGATCAGCTCAACAGCAAAACCAATGTACTCTGTAGTAAGTCAACAAGATGCCAACGAAGAATGTATAACATAAGTGTATAATCATGCTACTGATTATATATGCATAGATAGCAAACAGCATGCATAAATGATGTTTCCCAAGTAAAAATTGCAGTCAAAACAAGAGCTATAATATAGGAAGAGATGATTAAAGGAAAAGAAAAATGGAAATCACCGCAACTTCAAAAAAATAAAAGCAGTTGCTATCTCATGTAATAACAATAAAAGCACACCGGTGTCAATAAACTAGTTCACAGTATGCGAATTCCTCACCTCATTATCATTTTTTTCACTTTGACCGACACACATGCCGTCATTGGTTAGAGAAGCATCAGGTTTCGTGTTTTCAGCGTCAGCATATTCCTTGAGTTGACTTTCCTCCCCGGGTTGAGTAGATGGTTTCTCTGTTTCACTTCCATCTCCACCACATTCACTGGTACTAACCTGAGTAAAATGTTGCACATTCTGCATTTCATTTGAGACATATTCAAAGGTCCTAAAATTAGCACCTGATGCTTTCGTGAAAGCCTCAGGGTCACCAGGTGAGTCAAAGATTAGTAGATCCGTAGCATCAGTAATCAAACTCTCCCAATCACATCCTGAAGCTTCTTCTTTATCTTGAACAATTTCATTTGTCCCGTCCATATTAACCTCACACCTCAGCAAACCTTTTCCAGATATCTCTTGTACCAAAGGGACATATGTCACAGAAGTGCCTGCAAATTCTGGCAAACTCTTACCTCTTATGCCCCCAGTCGGTAAAGTACTGGGACTGCTGCACTCATAATTTAGACTTCTTGCAAGCTCAACTGCAAGCTTTGAGCATTCATGGGATGGTGAAGCCGGTGCTTCACCCCCAGAAATCCCACAACCAAAACTTTCCTTGGGCTCAATTGAGTTATTTACAGCATCTAACATACCCTCATCAGTATCAACTTTAACACCATTATCAGAAGCAAACTCCGGTTTTGATGGATCTGAGAGCAGGTGCCTGACGAAAAAACAACAAAGTCAACAAACAAACAAGTCTGATCCAAAAGAAGTTGTAGTACCAGATCAAAACAAACATTGATTACCTTCTTAGGAATCTAGATTCCCTTATGGAGCTGACATGAGGTGAGGTGAACACAGACGGTATAGATGCAAAACTAAGGGAATTGAGCGTCTGAGTAAAGTGTGCGGACTTATCTAGTTTGATGGGGGAAAGGTTGTTAAGGAAATTAAAAACAGGGGACTCCTGCATAGAGAGAGAAAAAAAGACCTTTAGATAGCAAGAGATCGAGAATACAAGAAAACAAGCTAAATGATAATTTCATCAAAACTGGGTTTCAGCATTTCAACCAAGGAACAAGCTTGACCCTTTTCCGAATGATATATTTATCTTTAATCCTTATGCAAAAGAACAGTAAAGGATATCGAGTAAATGTCAGAGATAATAGACCACATAACGAGCACAGTAGAAAAACGAACTTGGTTCATTCCCACTCTTTATTGATCATATGTAGAGCAGCTTATTTGCCTCATGAGTTAATTAGAGGCATGTGCAAATTTTCCAACAATGCCTGGAAATTAATTAGTGTACCTAAAGAATTCTTTGTGAGATACAGCAATCCAAGAAAAAAGTCAATTCCAGCAAATACATGAAATGGCAGCTGCATATTTCATCTTTGCTAATTGACCTTCTTATAAAACAACTCCTTCACCCACAGCTCATTTACAATCGAGGAAATCCAAACCAAGCAAGACGAAAGAACAACGACCAAGTAAATCCCACAAGTGGGGTCTGGGGAGGGTAGAGTGTACGCAGACCTTACCCCTACCTCGAGGGAGTAAACCAAGTAAGACGAAAATGTCATGAAATTCAATCGACAATTAGACAGCAGTACCAACGGTTGAATCCCCAGAACAATCAAGGCAGACAACTAATCACAACATTTCCAGATAGAGAGTAAGGAAAACTATGACACTACAAGGCACAAACGAAAAAAATCTCAACAAGATAATCTCACAATGCAAGACCAAATAAACTTCACCAAATTTTAAAACAGTAATGAATTAACTAATGAAAGGAAAAATTAGTTAAAAATTAGCGGAATGGAAAGGAAGAAGTTTTATTTAATTAATGAATTAAAATGCATCACCAAGCATCCAAATCTAAAAGCGAGCAAAACATGCAAACTCAGAAAATGATAAGATAAACAATTCCAGCGACATAACCAAAGTCGTGAAGCAATTTAGACACCAGAAAGATAGCAAATCTAAGAAATCAAGAAGTCAATATTGTTACCAATTACACAGAAAATCAGTTTCTCTAAAATTTAACAGTGGTCAAGTACAAGCAAATAAACAAACTACCACTAGAAAACACATCAAAAACAAAGAAGAAAAGAGGAAAAAGGACCCAACAATTCCAGTAATCGACCCAATTTTAAACCTTCAAAGTAACCAAAAAATACAACAAATCAAACTTCAGTACACAAAACCCATCAGACAACAGTACCAAAGATTCCAAAACAGTCAAAAATTAGCAAAAAGATTCAAACTTTAGGCTCTTGGAGATACCAAATCAGTAATAAACCAAAAACCCACAAGTCCATAATACCAAAAATTCCATACCCGAAAAAAAAAACGATTTAAAAGATTAACAAAAAGACTCAAACTTTAGGCTCTTGGAGGAAACAAATCAGTAACAGAAGAAACCCACAAGTCAAAAAAATATATTGAAGAAATTAGCAAAAAATTCAAACCTCAAATTTGGAAATAGGTGTTGCGATCTGGTTCTTTTTCCTCTCTGGAGTGTCCATTACCACCACAACGCCGCCTTTAACTCCTCCCCCTTTTACACTCTTTCTACCTTCTTCACTCTCTTTCTCTACTACATTTTCTCTCTCTAAACTCACTTTTTCTTCTTCTGTAGACATAACTCTATTTGATGTACACACACACACACACACAAAACACGCAGAGGATACACACAGTTTCCCTCTTAAGAGTAAAGAAAGAGACAGGAATTCAATAAGAAGCGGGAATTTAAGAATGCTATGGCTGATAAAGAAAGGTGTGGATTTTCTCGTGCTGATAAAAGAATGGGGACATCTATACCCCACCACCCCCTCTTTGGCCTTAAGAGAGAAGATGTTGCCACCACAGCTGTTGTTGTGCTGATGACTTGGTTAAAATACAAATATAGAGGAGAGGAGGGAAAATTGACCATTAAAAGTAACGTACACTAAGAATTTTTTTTGACCAATTCTCCCCCCTTACTTTTTACTTATGAGCCCCTCTTTTTTTTTTTTTTTTTTTTTCCTTTTGTGAGAAGCCAAATTTATTCATAATATTAATTTCGATTGAGGAAAATCCAACCTTGCATTTTCATGCCAATTGTTTTCTTACGAAACATTCACGTTGTTTTGAAGGGATAGCTTAGTTGTCATAATCTGTAATTTGAATGTTAATATTACAAGTTTAATTTGATTATTTATTTTTATACGTGGGTATAGTTTAGTTGTCATAACTCGTGATTAGAATCGTAATATTACAAGTTTGATCTGATTATTTATTTTCGTTGTTAATTATGTAAAAAGAAGGGTGGAAACTCATTTGTTTGCTTTTGCATTGTATTAATATCGATTTAATATCATATAAAGAGGCAAGTACTTAGTCAAAGATTGTTAGAGGAATATGCTTTTCAGTTTCAATTTTGGTGCCTAGAGTTTCTATGAATTGGATTGTGTTTTAAATTTCAGTTATGCGTTTTTGCGGGCTATTCCTTTTTTTTCGACTTAGTGGGCTATATATTCACGCTGTCCGTTTTATTAATGGCTATATATCAGGAGGTTATATTAGTATAAAAGTCCTTTATTTTTTTGGTTTTGTGAGATCAGGGAGGAAGAATATCAATTTAATATTTGCTATAATTAGTTGATTATTAAATACATAATCCCCAAGTTTTTATGAGTCTTTATTGCACTTATTACAATGTCATAATTAGCCTGTGCTAATAAAGAAAAATAATTGGTTTGGGTTCTTGAAATATTGTCACAAAAATGCAAAGTCCTAAATGTTCCACTTAATTAAAGATTCATCCTGTGTAAGATGTTTTGGAAATGTAAAACATACTTGGAATTATAATGACCTGTTTAATATAGAAAAAACTTTAGGGTGTCCCCGAAGTCTTGTTCCCACTTCTCAAAAATAGTACTCCTCCCTTAATTTACTTTTTGAGCAAATTGATCATATTTTTTGAAAACGTTCTACTTTTGTAACTTGTTCATAATTTTTTTTTTTTTTTTTTTTTTTTT